CATTAATCAACATCTCAGCTGAGTCAGTGGTCCAGGCTTTCCTCTCTGGATGGGTCGCCCGTTTTGGCAGCCCCTCTGTCATCATCACCGACCAAGGACGACAGTTTGAATCACATCTATGGAAGGAACTTATGGAATTCCTCGGCACCACACATAACCGAACCACAGCATACCACCCTGAGTCGAACGGAATGGTAGAACGCTTTCATAGACAACTAAAAGCTGCCCTAAGAGCTCAAGCACGCCCTGATGATTGGATCGACAACCTTCCATTAGTCTTGCTTGGCATCCGTTCGGCCACGAAGGAGGGCAGTGGATTCTCGGCAGCAGACTTAGTATACGGATCAAGCCTGCGGCTTCCGGGCGAATTCATAACCCCAACGCCACTTATCACACCCCCAGACCCCACTTTTGTCCAGAAATTACGGGCGGCCATGACAAACATTCGGCCTACACCACCACGCCAACCGACAACTCGTGCCTCATGTCGGCAATGTGCCTATGTGCCTCATGAGCTCCACACAACTGAACACGTGTTTGTAAGAGTCGACGCTGTTCGACGCCCTCTACAGTCACCTTACGAAGGACCATTTAAAGTGGTTTCTCGAACACCGAAGTTCTTCACCATTGAACGCCGAGGACAGCGGGTAAACATCTCCATCGATCGCCTTAAACCAGCACACTGTGACGCTGCCCCAGACATCCCTCCAGAGACACATCCGCCGACTACGCAGTTCACTTTTCGACCACAGTTACCAGCAGCACCGCCACCTACGACAACGGACGATCCTGTACGACCTCTCACCCTACAACCCCAGTTACCAGCCGCACCACAACCTGATCCTGCGACGACGGACGATCCTGTGCGACCTCCCACCCTACGACCCCAGTTAGATGACATCAGCGAAGAGGAGGAAGTTAACTTTGATGGTTATGTAACGCGAGCAGGGCGTACAATTCGCCGACCAGCTAAGTTCCTTGATCAAGTATTTTTCCTTTCATCCCCTGGGAGGGGGAGTTATGTAGCGAGTAGATTATCCCAATAATATACTCGCTCCAAATATAGTGTTAATATTCCTGTCAACCTTTGGAGATGAATGAGGTGAGGCGTTGCCCGGGCAACACGGTGAGATGCCCGAGCAATATAAGCAGCGGTGTAGCGAACATTAACTAGTCTGCTTTCAAGTGTGGTCTAGAGCAGACACTTGCGAGATACTCTACCAACGCTCAGTGCGCTCAACTCACACCAACGTATCACCTGTGTACTTCTGTATATTCGACCAAATATATATATATACTATCTTAGTGTCTGTGTTTATTTGTCACCATACTTTACGTAACAATAGAACCGTTACAGAAGAAGAACAACAGACGACACAGGCGGACGAACGCTGAACTTACGACGTAGGAGGAATCCCTGCTACAACGGACGGGCAGGGCGCTTAAGACAAACACACCAGGCTACACCGGCCAGGCGGGAGCGCCTGGGAACCAACCTGCCGGCAACACCGGCCAGACGGAGGACATGGAGTAACGGTCCTGGCTACCCCCCAGGCAAGCAGGGCACGTGCCTGAGGGCCTGGACGGCGGAAAACTTGAAATAACACACCGGGCAACACCGGCCAGACGTACGTCTGGGGACTACATGCCGGACTTACACCGGCCGACGGACGTCTGGGGACATCTTGATCGGCGCCACTCTGGGGAAGACGTACCTGGGGACTCCGGGACACTGAAGGGCCTGGGGCTAACACCCCGGGCAACACGGCCGGGCGAGACGTCCGAGGGCGACATGCCTAGCAGAGAGCACACCACACACGGCAAGGACCCCGTGGCCTACCAACCACGCGCTGCCACACGGCATGCTCAGGGCCTAGACGAAAAGGGGAGGGGGGGGGGGCCGCACACAGGCGCGGCCGTACGGGCGCAAGGCAGCCCGAGCCCCGACGTGGGAAGCCGTGGCGCAAAGCCACGTGGATTAGCACCCAAAAGGGAACAGGAAGGGCGGGACACAGCCCAACCGTGCGCGCCACGGAACGCCGTGCCACGTGGCAGCACGACCAGGCGTGTGCCCCGTAGCAGGCCCGGGCGGAGGGCCGGACCTGGCCACGAGTCGTCGCCAGGGGCGACGCTTGTCCGCTCAGGGAGACCTGACCCCTGGGGACATCCCAGGGAAGCCGGCAGACCGGCAACAGGGAACACCCGAGGGAAAAACAGGAAAGACGCAGAAGCACGCCCTGCCGGCCAGGCACGTGACGACCCGGCAAGGCATGCATGGGCCCCAAGGCGGGGCCCGCCATAGGGCCGCCCACGCCTGGCCACGTGTCGCCGCCGCCGAGAACATGCGCCCCGGGCGTAGGACCGAACCTGGCCACAATCCGTCGCCGACGGCGACTCATGTCCTCGGACAAGGCGAAACCTGGCCCCCTGGGACACCCAGGGAACCCGGCGGGCCGGCGACAGGGAGCCCCGAAGGAAAGGCTGGAAGGACGCCGAGGCACGCCCAGACGACCAGACACGTGGTCGATGGCGGCGGGGGAAGGGCCCCAAGGCAGAGCACAAAGGGCGTAGGGCCCACCACGCCTGGCCACATGGCGACGCCGGCAAGGGCACGCCTGGCCGCCGACGGGGGCCCCTGGCAGGGCGCGCCGCGCTGCGGGGCCCCTTGGACACGGACGGGCACGGCTGGACGGGGCCCCACATGAGAGGAGACCGAATGCAGGCCACTAGGGACGCGGCCCGGGGCACGCCGACCCTAAGCCAGCCACGCGACCAGCACGGCACGGGGGCGCCCGGCACAGGCCCAAGGAGGGCGCCCCAGCTCTCCGGGAACAACAGCAGAGAGCCCAAAGGACTAACTAAGGCGGCACACACGTACCGCGAAGGGATGGCGCTAGGCACACGCCGCACTGGGGAGGACCTGACTAGAATTGAACAGAAAACCTCACCTTGGGTTTAAAAGTGTAGGGCAGTTTTGCGAGGGCAGCGGCGAGGGCAGGCGGAGTGAGGGCAGAGCCCCATTGTGCGCCCATATTTATACGGCCCCAGACTGCCCGCGCAATGCCGCGGGACGCGCTGCGCAATTGTTTCTTTCTCCCCCGCCAGAAACATCCCCGCTTGCGATCAAGCAGTGACCATTTACAGCGGGAGGTGGGAGTAAGACAACGGGTTGACAGAGCCCCTCTCTGCCCCGGAATTTATATGGCCCCAGACTTCCTGCGCATCCACGCAGGGCGCGCTGCGCAATTGTTTCTTTGTCTCCCTTTTCAGAAACATCTCCGCTTTGTATTGCAAATCAGAGGCCATTTTTGATCATTAAAGTGATGATTGTCATAGATAGTGGATAAGAGGTTTAGATCTGGTTCTATACTTGTTTGCATAAGAAGGCTGGTTATAGGAAAACAAGGCAAGAATGGCAATTACAAAATAAAATTTTGATATAAAAGGGGGGAAATAATAAAACTATAAACAAGACTATATATAAGACAAACACAAAATGAACAAAAAAATGAGGTAGACTGCTTACAAGTACTCTCAGGTACACTGCAAGTAATAATTTGCATTTTGAGACACAGGCATAGCAAGAGGTACAATGGAGTTGGAGTAAAGGAGTATGGCGAGGCTAGGCAACCTAGGTAACAAATGAAAGCAAAGAAAAAGTTGAATAATAAACATAGGCAAATTTGATCTAATGATTATTAAGTATAAATAGCTTAGTAAAGATCCTATAATTAGTAAGAACTAAAGAAATATTAATGCAGCCAATTAATTAAGTCCAATAAATGACTAATAAAAATTAAATTATAATTTTAATTTAAAAAAGTGAAACAAAGAGACATTGGTTATAGCCCGCACTAGGTGACAAGGGGGTTATGTTGACTCATTGGGAGAGATAATAAGTTAGTTAGTTTAGTTCATTTATTATGCACCCCATACCCATCTAGTGAGCGGTAGTGGAAAGGGTTACAGAGGCACATAATGGGCTCAGGGACGAACCCCACAATTCATTTAGCTAAGCAAGTTACAATCTTGATGAGCTAGTTACAAAATTTAATATAAGTCGTCACATCAACAATGGGTTCGAGATCGACCTCAAGTACAGGTTCTAAATTAAGCAACTGACATATGTGGAGAGCTAGTGTCAAAATTTTTATGTTTGTCCTGCACACCGCCCCCCATCCAGTGGACAGCGGTGGATAGGTTACAATCACTCAGTTACTACCTACAGTTAGCAAACTGGGTATATTTGGCTAAAATTTCTGGTAGCAGATTATTTTGAATGAAATATTTACACATAGCTGGAACATAGGTTATAGAATTGTCTGTAAATTCACGTATCTTTTCGCACTCCATCACATAGTGACGGAGGGTGTGCGAATAATTTTGTTGACAGTTTACATTTGGTCAGGTCTACATCGGCAGATAATGAGAATTCCCAGAGATACTTGAAACCGAGCAGTTGTAACATCTAGAAGTCTGCTAATTTTATTGGATGATCCATATATAGATGTGTGGCTCCTCTTGCATGATAGTAATTAGCAATTATAAACATTTTACCTTCTGAAGTCTTTCTTCTAAATAAAAAAGATCTTCTTTCTTCTAAAAATACTATACTATGTATTCTCACAAACCCATTGTACCTTCTTGTATATAAATAAATAAATAAAAATAAATAAATATACAAATTTTGTGTCCGAAATGGTAAAACTATGTGTGCGAGCTGGCGTATGTACCAAGTCTCTTGTATTCAGTGTTCAAGTTCAAGTTCAAGTATGTTTATTGAGATAAGCAATAAATACATCTCAAAGGGATAGAGTAGCTTAGGCTATTTCTACCCCCCCCCCCCCCGATTCAGTGTGATAACCCTGGGAGTCAGCCAGGCCGAGATGTTACCATGGCAACGGGATAATGTTTACCAAAGGATTAGCAAAATGTACTAACATCCAGCAGTGATGGTCAACAGATGCATTTTATGAGTAATAATAATAAAAATATTGATTAAATTATATGGATGTTGTGAGAAAATAAGAGTGAGAGTCGAGGGAGGAGAGGTGAGCCGAGGAGATGTTTATGTTAAGGGTGCGCGAGTTATGGTCGCTGAAGGAGCAGTGGGCGCACCTCGTCCTCCAGTCGTGGCCTCCACTACCTTCTCCTCCACCTGGCCTCTGCTAGACCTCCTACCCCCCAGTCGTGGCCTCCACTACCTCCTCCTCCTCCACCTGGCTTTTGCTGCACCTCCTACTTCAGTCGTGGCCTCTCCACGACCTCTTCCTCTAGCTGCAGCTTCCACCAGTCTTCTGCTGCAGCTCCTTTATGTTCCTCGAGGCCGACCTGTCAGCCGTCCTCAGTGGCGCCTCAGCAGTGAAGGGGCAACTATCGGTGACAAAAGGTAGTTGTGTTGAAGTACTGGATGTGTTCTGGACAGGAAACTCGGCTACTTGCGAGGCTTCTTGAATGAACTATAATCGGGACCCTTCCTGTGCCTATTATATATATAATCGGACCCTATAATCGGGACCCTTTCCTGTCCCTGTACTACAGGGCAGTCGGGTTCGTTCTCGACGTACAATTAAGAATTCTGGGTTCGAATCCCAGGCAGGACAGAAATAGTTGGGCACATTTTCTTTCACCTAATGCCTCTTTTCAAATAGCAGTAAGTAGGTACTCAGGAGTTAGCCAGCTTGTTGTGGGGTTGCATCCTGGGGGGGTCTGTAATTCGACCCTGGGGGATGGAATCTTGATATAAGCCTAACCTGTATGAATACTTTTTTTTTTTTTTTTTGAGATAAAGTATATACAAGAGTTTTTATATTCTTGTACAGCCACTAGTACGCATAGCGTTTCGGGCAGGTCCCTGGAATACGATCCCTGCCGCAAAGAATCTTTGTTACAACTAAGTACACATTTTACTGTTGCGTTAAACAGAGGCTACAGTTAAGGATTTGCCTCCCAGTAAATCCTCATCCTAAACAACACTCTGGCTTCCTGTACCCCAACACAATGAATTATTATTATTGTATGCTAATCCCCACAATCACCAAGCCCACACAAATTACTCAAACTTCTGCTATAACCCTGGACCACATATTGACTAATATAACAGCCCCCCTTTGTCTCTGGTATAATCACTGGCAGAACACCCGACCACTATTCTACCTTCCTTTCAGCAAACATGGACATAACACCCTCGAATACCAATATGCTTACCTCTAGACTACACAGCAAAGCAGCAATAGGGATCCTCATAAATGCCATCACAATATAGACTGGGAATCTGAACTCAACATTACACAGGATATAAATTCATTAACTGACATCTTTCTCTCCAAAACTCTAAGCCTCTACAACACACACTGTCCTCTCCTCATTAAGCAAGTAATTGCCAAAAGATTAAACAACCCCTTGCTCGTGGCATACTTAAAGCAATTATCAAGACACATGGATATGAAAAAAAAACATAGGATCTGCCCGAAACACTATGCGTGTTAGAGGCTTTACAAGAATGTAAAAACATCAATGCTATGTACTCTCATAAACCCAATCTACCTTCTTGTATATACAGTATATAAATAAAAATAAATAAATAGTAACAAAAGAAGAAGTTAAAAGATGCTCATCAATGTTTACCAATATAATACAAAGAGCCAAAGCTTTCTTTTATGAGAATAGATCTAAAGAGACAAAAGGAAATAGAAAATGTACATGGAAAGCTATCTCTAACATCCTAGGGTCTAAACAACAATCACATAACAATCAGATAAAACTCTCCAAACATTGTTACACACTTGAATCAGACTTAGATATTGCAACTGAATTCAATAGCTTCTTTTCATCAATTGATGCTAACCTTGCCATAAAAATCCCAGAGACCCGAACACATGTTACTACATATCTCACTGACAGCTATCCTAACACTACAACATTTACCAGTCAGCCCCACAGACATGATATCAGTAATTCAATCACTTAAAACTAAAGCGGGGAACATTACAACAAATACAAATGCAAATATTTATTCAGGTAAAGTACATACATACAAGGTGAATAAAAATTCACCTTAATTAATTTAAAAAATTCACATTAATGAAATAACATCTATGATATATAGATAATGAAATAACATCTATGATATATAGACAATGAAATAACATCTACGATAATAAAATAAAATAAATAAATGTTTATTTAGGTAAGGTACATACATACAAGAGATTTTTACAAAGATTGGTGGACTTATAGATAGAGCTAGTACATACAATGCCTAAAGCCACTATTACGCAAAGCGTTTCGGGCATAAACACAATGAAATAACATCTATGATATATAGATAATGAAATAACATCTATGATATATAGATAATGAAATAACATCTATGATATATAGATAATGAAATAACATCTATGATATATAGATAATGAAATAACATCTATGATATATAGATAATGAAATAACATCTATGATATATAGATAATGAAATAACATCTATGATATATAGATAATGAAATAACATCTATGATATATAGATAATGAAATAACATCTTTCATATATAAGAGTGCTGCCCCTTGCTCTTGCACTACCCATAGCTCTGCTACTCAACCAATCTCTAGAGTGTCATAAATCATGAGAGTGTCAAACCCCCGAGCGCTGTCTAGAGTGGACAGTGCTTGGGGTTCGTAGTCCTAAGGGTTCGGGTTTGATCCCCGGCAGAGGCAGAAACAAATGGGCAGAGTTTCTTTCACCCTGATGCCCTGCTCACCTAGCAGTAAATAGGTACCTGGGAGTTAAACAGCTGCAATGGGCTGCTTCCTGGGGGATGTGTGTCTGAAAATTAGGATTAAGGACCTGCCCGAAATGCTATGCATGCTAGTGGCTATACAAGAATGTAAGAACTCCTGTATATACTATATATATATATATATATGTCGTACCTAGTAGCCAGAACGCACTTCTCAGCCTACTATGCAAGGCCGGATTTGCCTAATAAGCCAAGTTTTCCAGAATTAATATAATTTCTCTAATTTTTTTCTTATGAAATGATAAAGCTACCCATTTCATTATGTATGAGGTCAATTTTTTTTTTATTGGAGTTAAAATTAACGTAGATATATGACCGAACCTAACCAACCCTACCTAACCTAACCTAACCTATCTCTATAGGTTAGGTTAGGTATCCGAAAAAGGTAGGTTAGGTTAGGTTAGGTAGGTTAGGTAGTCGAAAAAACATTAATTCATGAAAACTTGGCTTATTACGCAAATTGGGCCTTGCATAGTAGGCTGAGAAGTGCGTTCTGGCTACTAGGTACGACATATATATATATATATATATATATATATATATATATATATATATATATATATATATATATATATATATATATATATATATATATATATATGTCGTACCTAGTAGCCAGAACTCACTTCTCAGCCTACTATGCAAGGCCCGATTTGCCTAATAAGCCAAGTTTTCCTGAATTAATATATTTTCTCTAATGTTTTTCTTATGAAGTGATGAAACTACCCATTTCATTATGTATGATGTCATTTTTTTTTTACTGGAGTTAAAATTAACGTAGATATATGACCGAACCTAACTAACCCTACCTAACCTAACCTAACCTATCTTTATAGGGTAGGTTGGGTTAGGTAGCCGAAAAAGTTAGGTTAGGTTAGGTTAGGTAGGTTAGGTAGTCGAAAAACAATTAATTCATGAAAACTTGGCTTATTAGGCAAATCGGGCCTTGCATAGTAGGCTGAGAAGTGCGTTCTGGCTACTAGGTACGACATATATATATATATATATATATATATATATATATATATATATATGTCGTACCTAATAGCCAGAACGCACTTCTCAGCCTACTATTCAAGGCCCGATTTGCCTAATAAGCCAAGTTTTCATGAATTAATGTTTTTTCGTCTACCTAACCTACCTAACCTAACCTAACCTAGCTTTTTTTGGCTACCTAACCTAACCTTACCTATATATATAGGTTAGGTTAGGTTAGGTAGGGTTGGTTAGGTTCGGTCATATATCTACGTTAATTTTAACTCCAATAAAAAAAATTGACCTCATACATAGAGAAAAGGGCTGCTTTATCATTTCATAAGAAAAAAATTATAGTAAATATATTAATTCAGGAAAACTTGGCTTATTAGGCAAATCGGGCCTTGAATAGTAGGCTGAGAAGTGAGTTCTGGCTACTAGGTACGACATATATATATATATATATATATATATATATATATATATATATATATATATATATATATATATATATATATATATATATATATATATATATATATATATATATATATATATATATATATATATATATATATATATATATATATATATATATATATATATATATATCCTTAAAAAGGCAAGAGTGACAGCAGTTCATAAAAGAGGCGAGACAGCTGACATATACAATTACAGACCACTATCAAATCTACCTATACTTTCACAAATATTTGAATTTTTTTTTACGAACGGCTCTATTCCGACTTTGTGAACTTTAACATATTTAAGTCCCTGCCAGTTTGGCTTCCATTTCCAAAAGAGTACCAGAGATGCCATTATTAGTCTTCTTAATGCAGGCGATGAGTCACAATAATGTGGCTGAAGTATGTTGACCAGACCACACACTAGAAAGTGAAGGGACGACAACATTTCCGTCCATCCTGGACCATTCTCAAGTCGATGGTCATTTTCATCGACTTGAGATTGGTCCAGGATGGACCGAAACGTCATCGTCCCTTCACTTTCTAGTGTGCGGTCTGGTCAACATAGCCTTCTTAATATAATCTACACAGCCCTTGACAAAAATGAGTTCCGAAATGCCCTCTTCATTGACCTGAGAAAGGCTTTTGATAACGTAAACCATAACTACCTCTTACTTAAACTTCACCACTATGGTATCCGAGGCCTTGCTCTGAGCTCTGAACTACATTCGCTCCTATCTCAGTGACAGACACCAATATGTAGCCATCAATAACATAACCTCCCCCACTCTACCAATAAAAGGTGGAGTGCCACTGGGCGGCATCTTAGAATCTCTCCTATTTCTTATATTCATCAGTGATTTGCTAAATGTTTCTAACTTTCTTAAACCTGTACTATTTGCTGATGACACTACATTCATCTATTCTGACCCCAACCCCCCACACACTAAATAATATTGTCAATAATGAATTAAACAAAGTCCACTCATAGATGTTAACCAACAAACTCTCACTAAACATAGAAAAGACCTACTACATTTTATTTGGTAGTAAATCATCAAATCAAATTCAGCTTCAGATAGACAATGATAACATTACCAATAAATATGAGGGGAAAGTTCCTTGGCCTATACATAGACAAGAGACTGAACTTCAGCACCTACATACAACACATAGCCAAAAAAGTAAAAAACAGTCAGTATTCTTTCTAAAGTCAGATATTATGTTCCCCACTCTGCTCTCCTCTCATTATACTATGCACTAATATGTTCTTATCTTACATACGGTATCTGTGCATGGGGTTCTACCACTGCAAATTACCTCAAGCCTATCATCACTCAGCAAAAATCTGCTATCAGAACTATAAAAAACTCTGTCTTCAGAAAACATACAGCCCCTCTATTTAAGGCCCTTAACATAAACATACACTCACTCCACACATTCTCATGTGCTATTTACATATACAAAACCTAGTTCCAATCTTGATCTGAAACTTTTCCTTGATAGGTGTAATAGAACCCATGACCACCACACCAGAAATAAATATATCTTTGATATCCCCAGAGTCAAACTTAATCTGTGCAAACATTCAATGCAAATAAAAAAAACCAGTCTATGGAACTCACTCCCTGATGAATTAAAAAAATTGCCCTACCTATGCTTTATTCAAAAGTAAAACCAAAAAGTACCTAATTTCATCCTCAAAGTTTCCTACCATAGGCTTCAAACTCACACTATATCTTGTGCTACTCACTCCCCCAATATTAGTACTTAAGACATATCTTTACCAGTGTAATCACCTCTGTCAATTTATATTGTCGTTATTTGTTGATATAAAACCTTGCTACATTGTACCTTTCTGGGGGGAGCCCCGTCGGCTCCCCGGAGCTATCCCAGGCTGATATGCTAATGTCAGACTTTGGCATCAGTCATGTGTATGGAGTTCTTAGGCCTACCGGGGACCACGGCCAGAACCGGGCCCCCTCAGAGAGGCAAGGGGAGCAATGGCCTATAGAAGCCCCCGTGTGGTTGGAAGCATTCTATGTCTGCCATCGACCGGAACAGGCACCCAGAAAGGTAAGCGCCCCAAAACAAACCCCTATTCTGGTTAAAATTGCTACCTAAAACCGAACTAGTGGATAGAACTCCCCAAACGAAAACAAGCAAACTAGTGTGACGTCACACACTGCCGCGCCGCTGTCTGCGCAGCTCCCCCCTCCCCGGGAGGGGGAAGGGGGAGCCCCAGACCCCCCGCGCCGGCTACCCACACCTCAGTTCTTGAGGCTGATGCTATAGGCGATGGTCGTGTGCTCTGGCTCCGGTGTCGCTACTGCACTGTGCTTTGCGTGTGGTGTTAGTTTTGGGGGTGCATCATGTTTTGTGTCCGGTTGCGGCGCTTCGCCGTTATTTGCGCGCTACAGCTTCTGTGTCCGGGGACGCGCTGTGGGTTGATCCGGTTTCCCTTCTTCCCTGTTCGCGGGTTCGGGTCTCTCAGGTCGTCCGCAGGGTTATTAGGTCCAGCCAGCCTGCGGTCTATCCCCGTGCCCATGACGTTCGTAAGTTCGCGGCTCTTGCTGCCGTCTTTGGGAATATGTCTTGGTCTGATATTCGGGCGCGGGGATTTTGGCGGTCGAACAGGGTCCTGGCTGCTCGTTACCTTGTGAATGTCCCTGGGCCTCGTCGGGCCTGTGTTGCTTTGGGTCGGCGGTTGCAGCCAGTTGTCTCGGCTTCGAGTTGAGGGGTGAGCGACGACCGCCTCCCAGGTAAGTCCCTCTTTTTCTGTCTGTGGGTAGTTAGCTCCGGGGAGCCGACGGGGCTCCCCCCAGAAAACCAGCGTTGAATGTAATGAAACGCCATTTTCTGGGTGAGTCCCGGAGGCTCCCCGGCATCCCTCCCTCCCTCCGGTCGGCGGTTTTTCGCGTTTTTGACATCCAGCCTCAAGAACTGAGGTGTGGGTCGCCGGCGCGGGGGGTCTGGGGCTTCCCCTTCCCCCTCCCGGGGAGGGGGGAGCTGCGCAGACAGCGGCGCGGCAGTGTGTGACGTCACACTAGTTTGCTTGTTTTCGTTTGGGGAGTTCTATCCACTAGTTCGGTTTTAGGTAGCAATTTTAACCAGAATAGGGGTTTGTTTTGGGGCGCTTACCTTTCTGGGTGCCTGTTCCGGTCGATGGCAGACATAGAATGCTTCCAACTACACGGGGGCTTCTATAGGCCATTGCTCCCCTTGCCTCTCTGAGGGGGCCCGGTTCTGGCCGTGGTCCCCGGTAGGCCTAAGAACTCCATACACATGACTGATGCCAAAGTCTGACATTAGCATATCAGCCTGGGATAGCTCCGGGGAGCCTCCGGGACTCACCCAGAAAATGGCGTTTCATTACATTCAACACTGGTTTTTTATCTTACCTGATATGTTAGTTCAAGGACTTGCCCGAAACACTGTGCGTGTTAGTGGCTTTGCATGAATGTAAAAATACCAATCTTATGTAATATCATCAACCCATTGTACCTTCTTGTGAATAAATTATTATTACTGTATTATTAATATTATTATTATTATTATTATTAATATGGTTGTGTAGAGGTTGTGGCAGCTACCAGAGACTGTGTTGATGTGTTGGGTGCTGCCACTTAGTGTTGGTGACAGGTAACTTAACCAGTAATAAATAAATAAATAAATAAGTAAATGTTTATTTAGGTGAGGTACATACATACAAGAGATTTTTACAAAGATTGGTGGACTTATAGATAGAGCTAGTACATACAATGCCTAAAGCCACTATTACGCAAAGCGTTTCGGGCATGAAAAACTTAAATGACTAAAGCTTAATACTAATTGAGCATAAAGAGTAAAATGAAAACAAGAAATGAAAACATAGTTGAAAAAGCAGCACAAATACAATTCTGTCGACAAATGATGGTAGATATGTAGAGGTAATTAGTGTTCCTTATGTTGGTAATTAGTACTTGCAATAAGTGTTCCGGGTGATACTCCCTGCTGCTCCCTGCAAACTAGTCCTTTGATGGTGGCTTCATGATTGTTTACCTTGCTATTCTTTTATTCTTGGTAAAACTATTTGCATAAGTTCTTATTGTGCTTGGTGTAAGGTCCCAAGAGACTAACATAGTAAAAGTGTCCTAGAGGTTCAGATGGCTTCTGGCTGAGCATCTGAAGGCCCAGAAAATATTTTTGAATGGACTGGCTCAGAAAGCATTGTTTTAATAAGGGACTAGCTCGGAAAGTATTGTATATAAATAAATAAATAAATAAATGTTTATTCAGGTAAGGTACATACATACAAGAGGTTTTACAAAATTTGAAAGATTTATAGATAGAGCTAGTACATACATGCCTAAAGCCACTATTCCGCAAAGCGTTTCGGGCAGGAAAAACATTAAAGACTAAAACTTAATACTAATTGAGATTAAAGTATAGAATGTGTTGAGAACAATTAAAAATAAAAATAAAAAAAGGGGGGAACATGGCAGAAAAAGCAGCACAAATACAATTAGGTCGACAAACAGCATTGTTTAAAAAAACAGACATGGGTTGACAATATAGCGGTAAGGTAGGTTACAGGGAATTTATTAGGTAGTGCTTAGTTTTTATCTTAAACTGGTTGAGAGAGGTAAGTCTTAAACATGATTGGGAAGGTCATTCCACATTCTGGGTACCTTGATTTGTAGAGCATTTCTAGTTTGATGGAACTGGCTCAGAAAGTATTGTTTTGAGGGACTGGCTCATGTAGTATCCTGTCATCATGCCCAATCTACAAGGAAATCAAGCAGGTAATCCCCCTATTATTACATTATTTTCAGTGTGTGTAAATGATTGGCTGGTGAATATGCTGTGAGTTTTGTGGAAATGCTGGGTCGCAAACAAAGTCTTCGTGGTGACCACATTCTTGCAGACTATGGACCAGAGGACACCCTAAATGAAAGCTCAGACATTGAATGGGCTAATAAGGTAAATATGTACAGTATTCATATGAATATTAATAGTTAAATTATTTGCTTCATGTTGTTACTTTGAAGCACCTCTGATGTCAGAATTACTCATGTGATTGTATGATGAAATATCTGATATAATATGTTTAACTTTTGCCTAGGACTCTCACTGAATACATATTTAGGCATTTTACACTATTCAAGAATATAGAGTAGGATGCCTTTTGCTCTTGTCATTTTTAGTTAAATAGACATCATATATTGTACAGTGGCCCCTCCGTTTACGAATTTAGTCCGTTCCCAGAGACGGTTTGTAATCCGAAAATTCGCAACCTGAAACAAATTTTTCCATTAGAAATAATATAAATTGAACTAATCTGTTCCACACTCCTAAAAATATTAACTTAAAAATACATTTCATACCTAATAAACACAAATATTTAGTACTATAGTATGTACAAGTTATAGCTTACCTTTATTGATGACACTTGTTGGTGAATGGAAGATAGTGAGGCGGAGAGATGTTAGTGTTTGGAAGGGGAGTCCCCTTCCATTATAACATCAGGCAGTGATGACTTATCTGGGGTACTCTCTCTCCTACGTTTAGCCTGCATACCAATAGGATCTGGTTGTGGCTCACTGCCTGTTATTCTCACTAAAAACCTTTCCATAGAGACTTGTTTTTCCCTACATTGTAACACTTGTCTGTAGTGAGGCATCACAGTGTTATTAAAAAGATTAACCCTTAAAGTGCGCATCACGTCATATGACGTGTTGGACGTTGTTCCAGTCAACTGCGCATCACGTCATATGATGTGTTGGAGTACTACGCAAGATTTAAACGGCCCGGTTGATACACGGGGTTCACCACACCTTCATCAGGGCTCTTGTAAACAGACGCCATTTTTAAAAAAAATCGTGGGCCAAACTCTCAGGTGTTATTGGCCTCAGTATTGAGTGAGCAACCAAGCCTGACGCACGCAGCATGAGCTAACAGCACTGCTGTTCAGCTTGTGACCACAGCATCGCCTAAAAATGCCAAAATATTTATTTATTTATTTATTTATGCATATACAAGAATGTACATAAGGAATGTGAGGATACAAATATGGTAATTACAGTCTTGTAAAGCCACTAGCACGCGCAGCGTTTCGGGCAGGTCCTTAATCTAAGAAAATTTTAAGGAGGTAAATACTTGCAAAATTTATAGACAAAAAAATGATAACAGTTACATGAAATGAAAAAAAAGAAGATGAGAGAAAATTGTAGGTACAGTTTGACCAGACCACACACTAGAAATTGAAGGGACGACGACGTTTCGGTCCGTCCTGGACCATTCTCAAGTCGATTGTGATGAGGACAGGTAGGGACAGGCATTAAATAGGCAAGAGAGAGCTGAGGAGGAAAGTCAGGTTAGGGGATAGTAGTAATGAGAACTGCAGCAGGCCTATTGGCCCATACGAGGCAGCTCCTATTATAACTAATTTCCTAAACCTGTAGGTACAGTATATTAAAGCACATAGGTAGCTAAGATTGATTGCAATGACAGCTTGAATGGTAGTTGACAAAAATTGGTAGGCACAATACAGCAGAAACAATATAAGATTGATTGCAATGACAGCTTGAATGGTAGTTGACAAAAATTGGTAGTCACAATACAGCATATGGCTAACACATAAAAGAAGACAGCAATGAACACAATGATAAGGTTGTTTGATATTACATAAAAATTAGGAGATTGGGTAACACTAGGTACAGAGCAAATTTAAAGCTCAGTGTAGGAAACTAAGAAGATGAAGTTAGGTACTTTTTGGTTTTGCTTTTAAATAAGGCAAAAGTTTTACAGTTTTTCAATTCACTAGGGAGTGAGTTCCATAATGAAATAATGTAAATTGAACTATAATGAAATAATGTAAATTGAATATACTTGTTCATGCTATTATGTAGCGTGAACTATTATGGTGAACAAAACATGTAGATACTTATATATAACGTCTGTATATAGTGAATTATAGCAAAAACATTATTGTGGGAGGAGAATGTGGGTGAGTCAGATGACTGGAGGGAGGGCGGGAGTGGCTGGCTGGTACACGGCGGTCACTCCTCGTTACTTTTTGACTCATAATAGCTACTTAGTGGTTCGTTATAGTGAACAAAACATGCAGATACTTATATATAACCTGTGCTTATAGTGTAATAACCGACAAAGTATTTGTTCACTGATTGATGAACATAATTGAATCAACAATATGCACACCATATTTTTGAGTACAGCAATGATTCACTCATTTTATTATATAAATATATCAAACTACAAACTATTGAATAATATTACAGCAAAAAAACTATGAAAAATCAATCAGAGACATTGAAATACAGTAATTCGGTAATTATCTCTTTGTGGCAACTCCAGCCTGACAGCTGGCGAGCAACAGACCGCCTGGGACGCATGCTGAGTCAGCGCCTATAATTTGCCAGACTTCCCCGCCCTATAGCGGGCAATATATGTCACTTACGATTTTTTTATTACAATACAATACAATACAATACAATTTTATTTAGGTAAGGTACATACATACAATAAATATTTACAAGGATTGTTTAACTTATAGGTATAGCTAGTACATACAATGCCTAAAGCCACTATTATGCAAAGCGTTTCGGGCATAAGCCTTTATGCCATATGCCTTTTCGGGCATATGCAATACAGCATATGGCTAACACATAAAAGAAGACAGCAATGAACACAATGATAAGGTTGTTTGATATTACATAAAAATTAGGAGATTGGGTAACACTAGGTACAGAGCAAATTTAAAGCTCAGTGTAGGAAACTAAGAAGATGAAGTTAGGTACTTTTTGGTTTTGCTTTTAAATAAGGCAAAAGTTTTACAGTTTTTCAATTCACTAGGGAGTGAGTTCCATATTGAAATAATGTAAATTGAACTATAATGAAATAATGTAAATTGAATATACTTGTTCATGCTATTATGTAGCGATGATATTATTACAGAAGACCCCTGACTGTGATAAAACTGACCAGGGTTCTGATAATAGCAGGATTGTGGTGATATTTAGCGCTGTGCTGCATTGAGGGAGGAGTAATGCTGTGGGAGGGAGGGTGGTGGCGATGTCTTCTGACTGTGTGTGGCCATCTTTTATTGACTGCACTCACCATACCAGCTTAGTGGTTCGCTATGATGAACACAAATGTAGATACTTATATATAACGTGTGTATAGAGTGTATAAACAGCAAGAGAAGGTTTGGAGCCGCCATTTTGGTGAGGGCGGTGGCGTCGTCTGCACGACGCCACCGTGCAGACGACGGTGTTGTTTACTGGTTACCACGATGGTCTTTGGGCACCATACCAGTTTATTTGTACAAGTATGATGAATAAAACAGGTAGATATTTATATATAATGTGTGTATATAGCGTAATAACACCACACAGTATTGATGGAGAAGAAATATTAGTGCGTCTGGCCTTGAGGACGGCAGCCATCAGCTGACTGTGTGAGGTCCTAGTACGTCTTTGTGCCTTTACTCACCATATAAGCTTAGGTTTACAGTTATGGTGAACAAAACATGTAGATACTTATATATAACGTCTGTATATAGTGAATTATAGCAAAAACATTATTGTGGGAGGAGAATGTGGGTGAGTCAGATGACTGGAGGGAGGGCGGGAGTGGCTGGCTGGTACACGGCGGTCACTCCTCGTTACTTTTTGACTCATAATAGCTACTTAGTGGTTCGTTATAGTGAACAAAACATGCAGATACTTATATATAACCTGTGCTTATAGTGTAATAACCGACAAAGTATTTGTTCACTGATTGATGAACATAATTGAATCAACAATATGCACACCATATTTTTGAGTACAGCAATGATTCACTCATTTTATTATATAAATATATCAAACTACAAACAAACAAATATTATTTTTCCCGTGATCAGTGAACACAAATTAACAGGTTAGGAAGAAAAAAATAATTTTTTTTTTTCAAAATGACATGCGCCTGTGGGGATGACAGGATATTAAACCCAGAGCATGTTAAGGGTTAAGGCAACAGCCTACTTCAGCTTGCTGTGGGTGAATCGTTTCAACAAAAGTTTGCATTTCTTCCTATAATCTACAGCACTTATTAATTGCTGAGGAAGGGACTTTCTCTACTGCCTCCTCCTCACCCCCCGAAGAAATTTCCTCAGCTGCCTCTTGTTGCTGTTCCTTGTGAAAGTGAAGGGCTAGGAGTTCTTCGATGGTCAGTTCTTTGCCGTGTTCCCCCACCAACTCAAACCACACAACACTCGCAGCTCTCACAACATTGTGAATGCCACTTCTTTTTTTAAATTGCTGAAACGCTATGCGTGCTAGTAGGTTTACAGAATATAAAATCAACATCATTTCTTTGTTCTCTCTTATCCCCCAATGTACCTTCTTGTATATAAATAAATAGACCATACCCTGCTCGCCTTAAACTCTCTCGTTTCTGCATCACTCGTTCCAGGGTATTTCTGGGGGGAGCCCCTACGGCTCCCCAGAGCTATCAAGGGTATAGGTCTAGATAGCTATAGCTATTTCTGGGGGGAGCCTCCTTTGGCTCCCCAGAACTATCCTACTCAGTGACAAAATCACTGAGGCATTAGAGGAAAATCATAATGCAGATGTCGTATACACAGATTTTACAAAGGCATTTGACAAATGTGACCATGGAGTGATTGCACACAAAATGAGGTCAATGGGTATAACTGGTAAAGTAGGACGCTGGATACTCAATTTCCTGTCGAACAAAACATAAAGAGTAACAGTCAATCAAGTAAAATCGAGTCCGAGCGCAGTTAAAAGCTCTGTACCTCAAGGTACAGTCCTTGCACCACTGCTGTTCCTTATTCTCATTTCAGATATAGACAGAAACACAAGTCACAGCTTCGTGTCATCCTTTGCAGATGATACAAAAATCAACATGAAAATTACCTCTACTGAAGACATTGATAAACTACAAACAGATATTAA